TACGGAACGTGCTCGTTCCGTTGTGCCTTGGGGCTCATACTTGAATCCTCGCAGGCAGTCGCACAGCGACTAGTGATATATGCAGATAAGGTGATATCGACAAAGGCAAGGGAGACCGGAATGGCCATTTCTGGCTTATTAGCCGTCATCAGCCAGTCATACCCAACCCCAAGTGTGGATCAATTGAGATTCGAACCGGGGATCTTTGGTCATGGAGTTTGACGCTCTACCATTGAGCCACGGGCCCGTTGTCCTGTCGGTTGTGATCGGGTTCGAATCTCAAGTGATCCACACTTGGGGTTGGGTATGACTGGCTGATGACCGGCTGATAAGCAAGAAATGGCCATTCCGGTCTCCCTTGTCGTTGTCGGTATTACCTCATCCACATATCAGAATTTTGGCTAAGAGCTCATGGGATGTGCAACGGACTGGAGCTTGGGCTTCTCGACCATGCTGATTCCCGTGAAGCACACACTCTGACTGAAACTTCAAAAATCCTTAATCGCCCGAGAATGCCTCATTTTATGCGTTTTAAGCGACGCCTCAGATCCTATTTTACAGCCTTCGAATCCGTTCTCAGTGTTTTTCGCTCTACCGTTTTTTCTTCTCAAGTCTCTGTTGACCCCTTCGTAAAGCATCCGACTGTATTTTCATTCTGTTTTTTTTGATATCAACGTTCCGTGCCACTGAAATTAGCTAATTCGTCTATATTTCATCATGGGGCATATTTCACTTTCAGATGATGGCAGACACGTCCGTTTTCTGCATTATGCGAGTCTCCATTTTAATTTCATTCGCTTTCTCCTCTCTTAGTGCTGAAGTAGTAGAAAAGCAAAAGCATACGGTTAACTTCTTGCGAAACGCTCAGTTCGCTTGAAGAATAATCAACCTTTTGCTGGAGTACTTTTCCTTGAGACTTAGAATGGGATGTATGCAGCCTATACCTATACTGATATGCTGGAAATTGACCCAACATCCTTTTTAGTCTCAAATGATGTCGAAAGCCCGCAGCCCCCGTATTCCGTCCGCGATATCTCATTTTCGGAACTCCCGATAGGGTGAATTTCTCCACGCCTGAATGAAACTCAGAAGCCTTATCCTGCCCCTGCCAGGTAGCGTCTACTCCGCCCAATCAGCATCTAGTCCTCCCCTTTCCAGCTCTCTCCAGTCGACCAAGCGAACCAATCAAATTAGGAAAAGGATGTGGCACGTGAACGAGACAAGAAAGCGGATGCTGATTGCACGTCCGAGTTTGAGGATGTTAGGGGGATGGGGGGCAGGGATGATATCGGGACCTAGCGAGAGGTTGAATGGGGGGGAGGATGCTTGAGTTTTAGCCATAGAACGCGCAAAAACACGAAATTGAACCCCTAGCAAAATCGAGAGTGGGCCAACCCATTGTCCCCTCCCCATAGAGTTTGGCTTCAGCGACCCGGCGTGATATAAGTTGGGTCAAAATCCGCTCATCCGGCCACCGGACGCAGTCCTTCCTCTCTGATTTTCGACGCTACCGGCGTGACTCCTACAGAGAACACCTACATTCAATGATCACAACCGGTCAGGAAACCGCTGTCGGAGACGGGAATAACGGTGAGCCCTTGGACAATGTTGTTCTCTTTACCGTCACATCTCTCCCATCCACCGGAAAAGACCTCCAGTTGGAGCTAATAGTGCGTGATTTCAGGCAGAACTAGGAACAAAGTCCTAAAATTGCTCAATTTTGATACTGCTTCATACTCTAGATGACGCTGCAGTCTACACGTTCGTTGAGGTTTACAGTAGTGTATTGGGGGGTTTCTACAGCAAATAAATTTCAGGTCAGACTCTGAGTTTCCCGAGAAAAGTGATTTCTTATCGCTGTTTGAGTTGCACCGTTTATTTTTAGCTTCTATGCCTAATAAACGGAGTTCATGATGTGTCATTTGGAGTCAGACCAGTTTTCAAGCTGTTCACGAATTACAGGCAAGGTTTGATCGCGAGTTTGGTCGCCTCTCTTTGAATGCAGAAAATTAAAACTTGGCACCTATCGGTGACTAAAGCGTATATTACAGTGCTGCGGCTAAGACTACCAGGAAAATTTGTTTCAATTTCATTTGAATGACCACTCCACGGTCAAAATGAGAAAGTTTGTCCTTTGAAGTAACGAGGTAGACCCACTTTTCCTTTGAAATTTCTGTCTGAAATGTGCGTCTAATCCCCCATCAGACGGCTGACCGGCTTAGACAGTGGAATGATATCTGGAGAGAGAGAGAGAGAGAGAGAGAGAGAGAGAGAGAGGTCGACTTTGACAGATACGTTCACGCGATATTTAGCTCACTTTCGTCATTTTAGACAATCTAACGTGCTTTTAAACTCTCATGGCTTGGAGGGCTGTCAACTGACGGAGTAACTCCGTCAGCCCCTTAAGACGGAGATTCAGGCTGCAAATCTTCCTTCTTCACATAGCCTTTATTGGACTCCCACTCGGTTGGGATTCGAACTGCCGCCCACTCGTGTTTATACGAACAGCTGTCCCATCGTGCACGGACCAGACGTATGTAACGAGCGTAAGCGAGTTGTTTAGTTTTATCAGCTGCTGTCCTCGAGTCCGCCTCCAACAGTTTGACCGCCGGTTTCGACTCTGTCCACCGTGTGCTCCACAGCAAGGCGGGGCAGGCACGATGACTTGTGCGTGAATTATTTTGTAGTGATGGTAGACTTGCACAGCATCTACCGCACTCCCTCCTCCCACTCCCCACCTGGACCCGGCGTCAAGAGAGAGTCAAGAAGACCGGAGGCGGGGGAGGGCGCAGGTGAATGGCGGGGCCGAGGCCGCACCCTAGTGCTCCACTCCACACAACACTTGACCAGGATTTTTCGCCAACAACGACAACACCCCAGCATGGAGTCCACTTCCAGCCGTCTTGACACTGCCTTACCAAAAAACCCTGGTAGTTGATGGAGAGAGAAAGCTTGAGTGCGGTAGATTCTGTGCACACGGTGAGCGTCGTCGCTTGTGGCGATCAAACTGTCCTATCAGCTTTAAATCCACTGGTCGACCTCTTGGGAGTTCTACAGCGCGTGACCGATCTCGTGAAATGTTAGCCAAAACTCCGAAATGCGCTGTTGATTAGAAAGGATTACTTAGGCGGGGGTGTAAGCTCGATTATTGGGAGGCATAATCTTATAATATTTGAGACTCACCATGATGTTTGCTTTGAATGCACTTTTTTGCGACCGTCTGCAAAAACCACACGCAATAAAAAATGACTGCTTATTTAATGCTCATTTTTCACATCGACTTTCGATGGTCCTAAAAATTCAAATATATTTTATAGGAAACAGGCACCAAATGCGCTTTCTTTCACTCATTTGGTAGCACATCCCGATGACTTCACATTCTACACTCGAAGAAAGGGTATATTTCGTCTCTGAAAACGTTTTCCAATTCTAGAATAATTTTGAGCCAGGTCAGCTGTTGCATCAGTGTTTGGCGATTTAAGTCAACAAGGTGTATACTTTCCGCGTAGGCAAAACCATATATTCCTCTATGTCTTTAAGAAGACACCATGTATAATTAATACAATTCTGCAGTGAATGCGGACTGCGTTGTATATTTCATGAGGAGCATTAATACACGCACAGGTGCGATACTGTATGAGTAGACATTGTACAACCTTAAAAATTTCATAATTAGGAACTTTTTCAAAACCAAAGCATATCCTTTCTTCTAGTGTATAATGTAAAGTCGGCGGGATGTATTATCAAATGATCTAAATAAAGCGCATTTTTCTGCATGTTTTCTACAAAATATGTTTGAATTTTTAGGACCATCGAAAGCCGCTGTGAAAAATAAACATTACTTAAGCAATCGTTTTTATCGAGTGTGGTTTTTACAGCCGGTCGCAAAGAAGTGCATTAAAAAGCTGACAACCTGGTGAGTCCGAAATATTATGGACTTATGATACACAGTAATCAAGATTATAGCCCCACCCAAGTGGTCCTTCCTAGTCAAAAAGGCATTTCAGAATTTCGGCCAACATTTAATGAAATCAGTCACTCACTGTGCATCATAAGCACATACAAGAATAGTCTATGAAGTTTTAGGACCATCCTGATCCAACGGTTAACGATAGGACGCGGAAATAGGCACATTCCCCATAATACAGGTGGCTCCTCACTTTATTCCCGTGGAGATTAATGCCAGGTTTGGGAAGTTGAGGTTAAATTTAGGGCTAGTATCAAGGCTAAGGCTTGAGATAGAGTAGGTGTTATGGTTAGGTTTGAGACACTGGAGAGGGTTTCCTTTCCGGAATTTAACGCAAAATCACCCGTAGTACGAGGAGGTCCCCATTCCTCCGTCTTGTTGGGTCGGTTGCTACGTGTAATTTGGGGGTATTTCCTTGCACAGGCAACCCTGAAATTCAGCAGAAAAAAGTTAATTTGATTGACTGAGGCCTCATTTGTCCCTATAAATCGGCCACAAACAATGCGGCTCCCTACGATACTCCACGATGACGAAGTGGATAAATGTATATTGCTAATTCTAAATGGCCTGATCAATTGTCTTTTTTGGTTGTTCAGAAACCAAGTCAACACACACGCTTTTTCAACATAAGAAATTTTCATTGCTATCTAATAAGATTTCCGAAAGCAATTGTTGCGTTTATCCAAACTAAAAAGATCCGTCTCTTTCATGCTCTTCTCGGGTGCATGGACCATGTTTCTTGCTTGATGAAGTATATTTGACTTTGTTGACTGAATATATCGGTTTTTTCAAATAAAAGTGGGAGTCTCTGTGCGAACAATTCATTAATTACTCTTTCCGGTCAAATGTCGACGCAGTGCGCAAAACTCCCTATGGGCTAATTTGTGCTTGTCCAAAATTCCGTGACGTCCACCGTCAGATACTTTTCGATGCAAGGTCCGAACTAGTGTCTTTCTGCTTGCCAGTAGTACCGGCAGTACAGTTAGTTACATTAATGATGATTGCAGTTATCGCAGCAGCCGTAATAGCAATATTAGTAACAGTAATAGTATTGGTTGTAGAAGTAGTAGTAGTAGTAGTTGTTGTGGTAGTAGTAGTAGTAGTAGTAGTAGTAGTAGTAGTAGTAGTAGTAGTAGTAGTAGTAGTAGTAGTAGTAGTAGTAGTAGTAGTAGTAGTAGTAGTAGTAGTAGTAGTAGTAGTAGTAGTATGCAGGAGGCTGTGGGCGACGCCGCTGAGTCAAATGACCGAGCAGCCTCTTGTACGAACAATCACTTGGTGAATAGATAATAAAGCTTCCCATTGAGAAGCATAAAAGAACACCACCACACAAACGTATGCGGGAATTTTTAATATTAATTTGTGGATAATGGATCACACCAGACGAGTGACTGAAAAAGCTACAAGCCTCCACTGAGAAGTCGTTGACATCTGCGGTTCTTTCTCATTGACACAGCTGTGAAAAACTTGGCGCCTCGGTAGGATTCGAACCCACGCAGTAAGGGGAAGGCTTTAGTACAGTCAGCGTTCTAACCACTTGAGCTACGAGACCCCGCCGTGAGCCTGGTAGTTATCTGGGGGATTCTGGGTGAATTACTTAGGAAATCCTGCTTGGTCAGTCAACTTACTGTATCAGATTTGGTGGATTCCATACATTGGAGTACGCTGGGTGGGTAACTTGACCCAAATGTGATTAAACTCGCACCGTCCGGCGGGGCCTCGTAGCTCAAGTGGTTAGAGCGTTGGTTGTATCAAAGCCTTCCTCTTACTGTGTGGGTTCGAATTCCACCGAGGCGCAGAGTTTTTCACGGCTGGGTCAATATGAATTATTCAAAATCTGCCAAAATACCTATGAATCTGCGGTTCTCTTCAGTTCATAACTCTCATTTGACAACCTTCGTTGCAGTCATTCTTCGTCGCTCTTCGCCCTCTCACGGAGTCCAGAACTGGACTGCCTATCCTCAGGCATTCACTCTCAACCACCCAGTCCCCGGTATTCCTTCATCGGGGTTATTGACGTCGTCTGCGATTCACTCTATCACTCCTAACAATTCCACACTAGTGGCCTTCAACCCACCCCCAGTATCCGCCCCGAGTACTAACCAGAAGACGACCACGCTTGGAGAATCGGTCTGTTTTTCAGGATCTGTGGCTGTGGCGAGCAACTGGGTCAACTGGTATGCAGCAGATCCGGAAACCCAGCGCGCCCCAATTTGGGCATCCCCCACCTCTCCTCAAGAGACCCTGCAGCGGCGCAGTTCCCAAACTCTCATTGGCTCTGCCCAGCCGACCTCACCCTTCACAGAATCTCCCCGCAACTTTGAAGCATGCAGCAGTAGCGCCGGCTGCGGCGGCAGCAGTTCGTTGGATCGTCTTCCAAAGGCCAGTTCCTGTTGGAACAGGTTCTTTAGCTCTCCCAAGGACGCTGTTGTTGATGGAGCCCTCTGTGGCCATGCTCGTGAGTGCTCCGTCTACTCCTTTTTTACTTTAAAACGGAAATAGTACTGTAGTTGATGGGACTTTGTAGGCCACAGAATTAACTTTCTGCAGACAGGGATGACCTAAGGGAGACAGTGAGTTGACAGCAGATTCACATGATTATCTTGTGCCTGCTAGAGGCACCAGCACTGGGCTCGTGGCCCAGTGGTTAGAGGCGTGTACTTCTAACTAACAGGTCGTGGGATCGAGTCCCACATGTTCCACACTTCGGGGGTGAGTACGACTGGCTGATAAGCCAGAAATGGCCGTTCCAGTCTCCCTTGTCTTTGTCGGTAATGCTATTCTGTCTATATCATGCGCCGCTGTGCGGCTGCTGATTGGGCTCGAGAAAGAGCCCGTAAGGCACAACGGAACGAGTAAGTTCTGTAAGAACGATCGGTGAGCGCCCTCCACCATAGCATGCATTTTCTACCCGCTCGCTGGTTCAGTGACCTTCAACACAAGCCCAGCCTCATCCAACTGGCCTGTCAATGGTATCGCATCTTTGTCACGGTAAATAGGACCT